TCATTATCCCAATTAGGGCTTTTTCCCACCATAAACTCTCAGATCAAAACTCTTCCCCTCGATAATTACCCATTAGATTACGTTCTACAAATCGAAAAACGGGTTCGGGGAGTTAAAACCTTACCTTTAGCCTTAAAAATGGTGGAAAACTGTCAAGAATCCTGGGGTTCGTCTCCTTACGCTCAAAGTCGAAAAGTGCAGAATAAAGATGTTTTGGGGTTTATTTCCGAGTTAAGTCGCATTGGACCCGCTACAGCAGCCCCACCCTGGAGGCAAAAATCCCGCCCCAGCGGCTTGCACGAACCAGTGAGCTATTTTAATAATTCCAAGTCCTCATTTTCGTAACACACCTTCAACCAACGACACTCAGAAACTACTCGTTCACGCTAAGATCAATTCTGAGAGTTCTACTCGCCCGAATTCAATTCCGTAAAGTCGTACGAAGTTCCTTAACGACTTATTTATCTACTCATGTGACCAAAATCATAATTAAATCACCCCAATTGCTAGCAGATTTCCCTAGACTTTGATGACTCCGATTTCGTCCAAATATGGACTAGGTTGAGAAATCTCAAGTTACTACGAAAAAGTTTTTTGGCTCAAATTTTTTTCCCGTTGGCTTCTCTATAATGACGGAAATAGGTCGTTACAAATATATTTTTCATGTGGCTTTTCATTATGCTGTCACTTGGCTTCACCACATTGCAAACTACTTTCATTTATGATATAACACAGGTGTCCATGCTAGCACGAGCCCAATATCTAATTATTTTTAATTTTTAATTAATGTGATATAGATAGAATTTAGAAAGGTTAATTAAAATTTAATATGATTTTTAGATTTTTTAAATTTTTAATTACTTTTTGTTTGTATGTGAAAAGGTTTATTAAGATGTTCATAATTAAAGTATTTTTAGTCATCGATCGTTGATTTTTTACTCAAAGTAATTATAAGATATAAACAAATATAACCGACATTAAAAATAATAAAGCTATAACTAAAGAATATGAATATAAAACTAAAAATCATAGCTAAAAAAGGATCCCATAATTTCAAAAATATTATACAATAATTAAAATTAACTTAGAACAAAATAAATAATTTTTAATTTTTTTTCCGAAACATGTTTACTAAAAGTCATAGCTAAAGCGGATCCCGAAAATATTATGCACTAATTAAATTAAAGTAAGACAAAAGAAATAATTTTTAAATATTTTTTTTCTAAACACGCTGAAGCATGCACGTTGACGAACTCTCTCCTATATAATAAAAAAGAATATTGATATATATATATTACTATTAGTCTATTATTATTATTATATTTTTATTTTAGTTTGATATTACATTAAATGTATGCAAAATTTATTTTATAACTTGTGAAAATGATAAGTTTATGAAACAAAAAAAAGTTAATTTAGATCTCTTCTATATGTGGGTTTTTATTTTAAAGATAATGAGTTTTTTTTAAAAAAGTCTAATAGAAAAATTGTCGGTCTACGAATGTGGTTTCGATCCTTCCGGTGATGCCAAAAGTCGTTTTGATATAAGATTTTATCTTGTTTCCATTTAATTATTATTCATGTATTTTCTAATTCTATTACTTTTAATTATTTACCTAAATTTTTTGTTATAATATTTATTAACTTAAAAATTGTCATGTGACTTTTCAATAGCTACCACTTAACCACATTGCAAACTATTTTCATTTATCGTATATATAGAATATTATTATAATTACTAGTATAAGCACCCGCACGATGCATAGATAATATTAACTCCATCACTTACATCTTCTTAAAAATCTACTAATTTCAGAATTTCTATTCTCTTATATTTATTCAACCACTTAAACATGGTAACATTTTTTTCTTTTCGTGTCTTTTTTTTATTCTTATGATTATTTTTTATATTTCATTGGTTTATGATAATTAATCTTCATCATTTGAAGTGATGAGTAATACATAGATAATGGTGATTGTATGCAAGTGATTTAGGTAGTAATTTGTATGTTATCGATGTCAAGTTTGAACAAGTATGTATAGTGATTATGAAAGGATAAATATAGATATATTTCGGTGGATGCTACTTCTATTTGGTAGATCTATTGAATAATCTACCAAGTCAGCGAAGAAACGATCTCATATATACACTCAATGGAGAATTATGTCTATTTTTGTAAGTATATCATTATGCAAATAAAAATTCGATAACTCTAATTAGAACTTGATTTTTGAAATTTTATGAGATCTTTAAGTCTCTAATACTATATAATTTTATATCTACATCTCAAGTTGTATAAATGTTGAGAAGATGTTATGACTTGAAATTAACGACATGATTCCATGTTTTGTTGAGTTAGCTAAGTTGAGTCAAAATCATTATTTTATGAGAATTTACACTTTTCACATTTATTTTTATTTAATAAATTAAATAAAAAACATTAATATCTTTATTGTAAGTTTTTTATGTTTTGTACTAGTTTCAAACAACTAATAAATGTTCGTAAATCAAATGATTTAATAAAATAATAAAACAAATATGGTCAAGCAAATGATATAATAATTTTAGTGGATTTTTTCTCTTAACACTTATGATACATATATTAAAGGACAAAACATAAAAATAACTCAAGGGAATGTATATAATGCAAAAACTGTTTGGAAAAAGTCCTAATAGCAATAGTGATTTATATTATTTATATATTTTCAATATGCCAAGAATTTGGTTATTGTAGATAAGAATTATAGAAAATTAGAACTTTTTTATTCGCTAAGTCGTTGCCAAAGGCATTATATAATTATTTTTTTTAGAAATTTTTAAATTTGTATTTTGACTTAATGTGAAAAAAAATATCCAATTAGTTAAATCCATTTTTAATTTCTTTTCTGGAATAGAGTAATTTTTATGACAATCAAATATATATACATGCATATTTAAAACTTTCCATTACCCTGACTTCAATTTCTAAAAAAATGTAAAAGTTTTCATTTAAAAATAAAATAAAATAGTATTTAAATTGAATGTGCAAAAAAAAGAGATTATATATCCAACTAGATAATTTTATTTTTTAGTTTTATCCTTAATCTAAATAAATTATTATTGACAATCACAATCTAAAAAAAACAGTTTTAAAACCTCTCAGTACCTTTTCATTTCTAAAGAAAATTGTTAAAAGGACAATCAAATTTCAAAACTGAAAAATAATTTTATGAGAACTAAAATTTAAACTTATGAATTTAGGATAAATAAATATATTTAGGAAGCGTTAAATTCTATGTTGAACAATATCACAATTATAAGTCATTCAACAAATTTAAGACTATTCACAACATTATATAACAACATTAATTCATGTTCAAAATTAAGATTTTAACATATATGATATAATTTTAGTTTGAAATTTAAAATATTTAACTACGGTAAATTTGTATTACCATAAATTTTAAATGGTAACTTTGGAACTATTTTTTTAACTAGGGTTATATAGTTGGTGGTAGGTATTAAATAATTAATTTTTCATTTGTAAGGTTTGTATGCTCTTCCCTTTAAAATTATTTTTGTATCAATTGCATTGATCAGCATGTATCCTGATGTGATTATAGTATATAGTTATTTAAATATATAATTGGAAGGGTATAGCGTGTTGGTTGGAAATTTATTAATGATAAAGGTTATAACTGAATTAATGATTACAAGTGATGTATTTGTATAAATTGAAAGTTGAGTTAAAATGTCAGTGAATAGCGATTTGGTTTTTGGATTTTTGGGGAGGGCAACAATTTTTTTTAGTATTATTTTATGGTGTATTAGTAGTGGAAGATATGAAGTATATAGAATGGTCATGTGGAAGCAAATTGAAAGAAACTATGGCTGCCAGGTGGGTTCGTAGGTATTTGACTAAATTAGTGTAATTGTTTAATTAATTAATAATTAGGTGATGATGAAGATATATATTTCTTCAATTTTCATCTAAGTTATATTTATAAAATTTTGACTATATTCCATATATATATGTACGGTTGTGGTTGTATTATAAATTAGGTTTCGATATATTGAGACAAGTAATTAAATATTAGGTGTATTGTATTATATGAATTCATTAAGGTTATGGTAAATGGAGGAAGTGAGACTTAATCTTAGGCTTGAAATTTAGAACTTGATTTAGATTCGTGCTCTATGATTTTTGGGTAATTTTTGAGACCTAGGCTGAAGTATAGTAATAATGGTGTGATTGGTGTCTATGGACTCATTAACTTATGAATTATGCATACTTGATAGATTGGAAACGTGCTGAGACATTGAGGAAAGGAAAAACATTGGAGAATTAGCTTGCTTGACTTCGGTTCTTCTGTAAAGGTAGGTTATGGTTTATTCTATGTGATAGATAGACTCTTAAT